AGAAAAAGAAAACATGATGCTAAGTCAAAGAAGCCAAACAAAAATGTCCCGTATTGTGGTACTATATGATTCCTTTTATATGAAGTGTCCAGAATAGTCAAAGCTGTAGATAGAAAGTTTATTAGTGATTGCAGGTGATGGGGAAGGGAGAGTGGGAAATGATTACTTAAGGGTACAGGGTGTTCATCTGGGGTGATGAAAAAGTATTGAAACTAGAGAGAGGTAGTGGTTGCAAATACACTAAATGTCTCCAAATTGTGTACTTTAAAATGGTTAATTGCATGTTATATACATTTTACTTTAATAAAAATACAGTCATAACTAACACATAAGATCGTTATAAAATTAAGTAAACTAATGTAGCCTCAAAGTGTTGAGATGGCAATCAAATATTCTAACAATGCAGTGTGCATTTATTATTTATTTAATTTAATTTGATTTAATTTTTTCATGGTATGAGTACTTTTTTTTTTTTTTTTTTTTTTTTTTCCACCACCGTCATAATACAGAAGCACAGGAGAGACGATAGTGTGCCAATAACAGAGGCAGGGCTCAAACCTGGCCATCTGACTCCAGAATGCCTATTCCCAACCAATAAGTTATACAAATACATAGGTCAAGAAAAAAGTAAAAGTAGCAAATGGAAAAGGAGAATAATCCCCAGGAGAATTAATACATATATCTGTGCTCTGTTTCTTTAAAATAGTAGAATAATTAAATAGACAAGGAAGTCAACCTCTGAAAAAATAGAAAGACTACCTGACAATACAGTGTGAGGAGAGACTGAGAAAAGGCATATTGTCATTCCAGATAAGCTCAGTGTGCTTTCCAAAACAGTGTTGGGTGCAAAAAGAAAAGAGACAGAATAAAATCTATACTCCTCACCATTTAGGCAACGAACAGTTATGCACACAAACTAATAGCATGCAGGATACAGGACCACAAACCACTCACAGCCAATGCAGCAAGATTGTTGACTAAGGAGAGGGAGAGGAATGATGCTGGGACTGGCAATACCAGGAATAAATAAAGTGAAAGAAAGCATTACCCTACAATGATGATGGCATCCTGTCGTGAACTAAGTATGAATAACTCCAACATCTGTATCTGAAGTTCAACAGTACAGAAACAAGGCTGAACAAAAACCCATTGGTCTATGTCATCAATATGTTAAAGGACAATTACAATCAGGTGACTGGCTCAACCTTTAGCCCTGACTGTTCCCAGACTCTTGTTAGAGGCTTCCTCGGTGTTTCTAGTATGTAGTCTAATGTGAGGAAGATTCAGTTAAATGTCCTGGATCAAGATAAGCACAAGGAATTTCAAAGATGCAAAGGAAAGATTTGTCTGGAATGTTGAAGAGGTATTGAAACTATTTAGAGGGAGTAGATGAAAACATTGCCAATACACTAAGTGCCCCCAGGTAAGTCATAGGAGAGGGAGTGAGAGAAGCAAGGCTGAGAAGTAGGCAAGGGCAAGATGAAACAGAGTGAGGTCTTAGGACTTTTTCCTAGAAGCTGTTGGGGAAACTACTGGGAGAGTTTTAGCTAAAGAGTAGTACACAAGATTTGCCCTTGAGATAGCTCTGGTTCACTGTCTAGGATGGATGGTAAGTAACTAAAAGAGGTGGAAGGGATCCCATATGACCACAGACGTTGTCCAAATGCTGAGGTAAGGTGCAGAAAGTGTGACTGGGAGAGGACAGACAGTGACACAGCAATAACATGCAATGCTCTGTGAGGCTGACTCACATGGGAAAGTTCCGGGTTGGCACCGGAGACCTCCTGAGTACAGAGAACCTGTGTGAACTCATGACCTGGGGCCAGCTAAAGCTGGGAGCTAACTGTGGTGTGAAGTCCCTACTGAGCATGCTGTCTGTTGGTCTCTCTTTCTATTTCTTTTGCTCATGGAAGAACTAAATAAAAGACTTAGAAAGAGACTGGACCGAAGGAGAGGGTGAGCAGGTAGTAAATATAAGTTCAAGCCAAGGAGCAAACATCCCCCCTATTAGAGATGGGTAAACAAGGGCAGAGGGGATGAAACAGCTCTCTTCAGGCTGCTCTGTGGTTTAAAGGGTCTCCTGTCTCTGAGTTTCATGAGGAGTTAACAGTTGGACGAGTGTTCAGTGGGCAATTTCCTGCTGTTCAGGCATACTGCTCACATCTAGATGACTGGGATGCCATGGCTGGGGTCACCGTATGGATCACACCAAGGTCCCTGCTAGGTTCTGCTATAGCTCATGGCTGGGTAGACATTGCTATAGGATGCAGCTGTAAGGGCATGAGGTGAACAGAGCAATACTCCTCTCTGTTAACAGATACCTTCCAGATACCCCCATACCTGTTCATGGCCTCTTTGTCTATATCTGCCAATCCATTGATGAAGTTTGTGGAAAAATGTTGGAAAGTTATCAGTTCTGAACCATGGCTGGAGAGCAGATGACCTTGCTGACCTATTCAAGGTGATAGGATAGTCAGAGCTAAGATTTATGGGTTACTTTGACGTGCCTGGTACCATGCTTTACATATGCCTTATCCCTTCTAACCATGTCAACAACCCAAGGACCTAAGAGGTGGGCCTTGACAAGCCCAAAGTCAACGCAACTTCCCAAATAAGACTCCAAAGCATTTCTTATTTGCTGAAAGTTGAAGGCAGAGCCAGCACCAGAACTTGGCTTCTCTTCACACATTTCCACAGTAGCTCTCTAAACCACAGATTGACAATATCAGATATCACCAGCTGTTTTAATGTGTTACTCCTTGCAATGCTTTGTCTCTATTCTCATCCAAGAGGAAGATGAGCCTCATCTTCTTCAGGTTCGCCAGGCTCTGTAATGGATGCTCTGAGCGCTTTTAAAAATTGCTCAGCTGAATTATTAAGCTGGCAAACTTGGGAATGCACCACTTGGTCTTCTCTGAAATGGGGGCAGAGGAGGGCACTTGGGGGACAACGTATGAGCTTCCAGAAAAACAGAAAGAACAGTTCCCAGAAGAACGCGGGGGCTCTGGCTGTCACAACAGGGCTGCCCGAAAGACCCCGCATTGCTATGGAAACGGCGCATTTCTTCTTTTATGGAGCAGGCACATAAAACTCCCAGAATGTGTCATGAAATAAGTTACTACTGTCCCGAGGCTGCCAAAGATGTACACCCTCATTAGGGGAGCGACGTGACAGTTTGGGGTTTATAATGAACGGTTTGCAGGCTCAGAGGCTGAGCTAAGTTTACCCTGTTGGGATCACAGCTTCTTGGGTAGGGGGGACTAAGAAGGAGCCCCTTCCTCAAAGTGTCCACAGACCAAAGACCCATCAGCTTCTGCACTGAGGCAAGACGGCCAGGTGATGTAATTATGGTGCCTACACATCTCATTTACATGCAACTGGTGAGCAAACTCAGGCATTTCCATAAAGAAAC